AACCATGGGGTGGGCAGGCCTTTGCCATCGTGCCAGAAGGGCAGGTCCCCGGGGCCAGGATGCATCTTGCTGCCAATTCACTTTGTTCTGAATCACACTGATGCTGTGCAGGGAGGGATGAGAGAAAAATCCAAGTCGAAATGTACCCCTTGTGTCACTGACCTCACCACTGACAGTGCAGGGACCCCAAAGAAATGTTCAATTTCTCAAGTCATCTTTACCTAGTGAAGGTCGAAATAGTAAATCCTCAAAACTATAAACTAAATAAGGGTCCTTTATCTGATAGTATATTCCCGTTAACTCCCATTTAAAGGTTCTTATGGGTTGAACTGTGTTGCCCTCAAAAAAGATATGTTGGTGGGGCCGGCCCAGTGGTGTAGTGGTTAAGTTCACGTGCTCTGCTTTGGGGGCCGGGGTTCACGGGTTTGGAGCCTGGGTGTGGGACCTACACACGGCTCATCAAGTCATGCTGTGGTGGCATCCCACATAAAATAGAAGAAGATGGGCACAGATGTTGGCTCAAGGCCAATCTTCCTCACCAAAAAAAAAAAAAAAAAAGGGATATGTTGGAGTCCTGACCCCCCAGGACCTCAGAATGTGGCCTGATGTGGAGATGGGGTCTGCGTGAAGGTGACCAAGTCAAAATGGGGTCCTTAAGGTGGATCCCAGTATGACCAGTGTCCTCACGAGGAGATTCAGGCCCAGATACAGACGTGTGCAGTGGGAACCCATGTGCAGGTGAAGACAGAGACTGGAGTGATGGGGCCACAAGCCCAGGAGCGCCAAGGATGCTATAAGTACCAGCAGCTGGAAGAGGTGGAAGGACCCTCCGCTGGAGCCCTCAGAGGGAGCATGGCCCTGAGACCTTGGTCTCAGACGTCTGGCCTCCAGAACTGAGAGAAGCAGCTTCTGTCATCTGAAGCCCCCAGTTTGTGGTCCTTGGTTACGGTGGCCCCGGGAAACGACACAAACATTCTGTGTCTTCTCTACACAAGCAGTGCCTTCCAACCGTCTGTTGTGATGGATCAGTTAACTTTTCTCTTATTTGCAATCCATTGTGGACTGACTTTTTCAAAATACAATGACAATGAATTGCTAGAAAAAGAAAATTTAAAAATGACGTACAAAACACAGAGCCATCGCCTTGGGATTCGGTTAAACAGGCACACGGCCCTTCTGTGGGTATGGCTATCCAGGCGTCCACACACCGCTTGGAATGTGAGCACCGGCATCGAGGGTCTGGGGCTGAAGGCTTCCTCCCGCTGGTGGGCAGAGCCCAGCACGCCGGGCACCACTGGAATTTCCCTCTCCACCCTTTTTCCAAGCAGCGTCTTATTGTGGAATCAGGCAGTGGGCACGTGTGAAAAATTAGTTTGGGGAGAGGGTAAAAAGTTTGAAAACGGGCGCTAAGCTATTTCCAATAAATATATGCGGAAACCTCCCGGCCTGCCGGGCAAGCCTTCAGATCCTCGACCAGAAGCATCTCTTTGCTGCTGCTCTCCAGGATTCGAATGGGTGTCAGGAAGACCCGAGAACAGCGCTGACATCAGACGCGGACGGCCCCGCCATCGGAAACCTGGCCCTCCAGGCTGTGGGGCTGCTCTCCACTCGTGTTGACAAAGGTGCGGCCTGATGTCGCGCTGCCCGGCCCCCGGGAGGCGGCTTCTGCAGGAGGAAGCGGACTGGGGCCCAGCTGCGCGGCTGGGGGGACCCCCGCGGCCACTTCCTCTTTGCTGTCCCCACAACCCAGAGTTGTTTTGCTCTGCCTGCTTATTTTGCTCTTTGTGCCTTGTCTTTGTTTCTCCTTGAAAGTATGTTGTTTTGCTTTTCTAAGTGGAAAGGGAATAAATGTGATTATTTTTCGACAAGTCTGTTTGAGAACAAGCTGCACAGACACTTTGTTGGGCCTCCAGGCGCTGCCCTGTCTCTGTGCCCCATTCCCAAATCCCCCCTCGCTTTTGTGGGGTCTGGCTCCTCTCCTCTTGCAAGTGAGGCCCCTCCTCCAGGCCCCTGCTCCTCCCTGCCCCCAAGGACGTCCAGCCCTGGGACCCAGGGCTCCGTGGGCACTGGAGAGTGTCCTAGAGGAGGACTCGTCCCAAGGAAACTGTCCGGCTCCCAGGGCCTTCCCGCCCTTGCTGGCAGGGCTGTTTGCGGGTTTACGGGGTGCAGAGAAGCAGCAGCAGGTGGAATTCCAGCAGCTGAGGCAGCCTGGGGCATTCAGGAGATTGGGGTGAGCTCCCCAAGTCACAGCTTAGCCTGCCTGGATAGCAGTGACGGGCTGGGTCAGCGAGGCCTCTGGCCTGAGTCAAGGGTCCGAGTCTTGGTTCTGGCCTTGTCCTTCCTCGAGTTGAGTCCTGGAGGCTGGGCTGTGGGTGGGGCTGGGGGTGGGCTGGGCTCACTCGGAGCTGCCTGCTGACCTGAGACCCGCCCCTCCCTGGTCTCCATCCACTGCCTGCACGGCCGCCTGCAGACCACACACTACGGAGAACAGCATGCGAGGGAGCGATCCTCAAACCTGGAAATCAGCCCCTCGCCACGGCCCCCATCTTAGAGAGAACTGAGCTGGACCCTTGCAGAGCACCGGCCAGGAGCGGGTGAGCCCTGCTGGCTTGGGTGGCACTCGGGTGCCTTTTAAACAGAGAGCAGCAGCTGGAGGCACTGGAGTCACGGGGACGCGGGGACACGGGTGGGACGCACGGGGCGAGCTCCCTGGGCGCTGGCGGCTGAGGGAGCCCCGTCAGCTGAGGCAGCACTCTCGTTTCCTTCTACCTTCCTCCTCGGGGTTCTAAGAAGGACCTCCTCTTGTTTCTCTGGTACAACCCTCCCCCCTTCACCCGCGTAGGCTTCACTGTCAGCGATAGTGAAAAACGGAGGATTAGCATCTTCTCGAGAGTCCTCGCACACCCACCCGAGGCAGCAGCCCGCCTGCCTCTCCCATGTGTGGGCTACTCCTGTGGAAATAAGAAATCGTTTCCCAATCTACAGGACTGGAGGCGCCCCTGTGGCTGCTGTGACCGATTGCTGTAAAATCAGCGGCTTAGCACAACATGACTTTATTCCTCACAGTGCTGAAGGTTAGAAACCCAGCGTGGTCTCTCTGGGCTGCAGTCAAGATGTGGGCACGGCCAGCTCCCATGGGACATTCCCCGGAGAATCTGCTTCCTGGATTTTCCGGCTTCCAGCGGCGCCTGCATCCCTGGGCTCGGGGTGCCTTCCTCCGGCTTCACAGCCTGCAGCGTAGCACCTTCCAGTCTCTCTCTCTCTGACCTGTGCTTCCCTCACCACGTCTCCTTCTCTGACTCCGACCCTCCTGCCTCCCTCTTATAAGGACCCTTGTGATGACCCTGGGCCAGCCCAGAGGGTCCAGGAGCATGTTCTCTCTCGAGATCCTCAGCTTAGTCACATCCACAAAGTCCCTTTCTCCTTGTAAGGACACGTATTCACAGTCTCCGAGAACTAGGATGTGGGCGTCTTTGGGGGCATTATCCAGCCCATCCTGAGAAGGTACTGAGATGGGACGTTGGAGGAGGAGGCTGAGCAGCATCGAGGAGACAGCGTGTCACAGGCTGAGAGGTGGCCCTGCTCTGCTCCCTTCTGTATCTTCAACACCCAACATGGGGCCTGGCCCATTCGAGCCACACGGACTGTTGAAAGAATGAAAATACCTAAATACGAAGTGAGCCCATTATGGGATACCATCCTGGATTGTAGGACTGCTTGATTAAGAGAGAGGTCCAGAGGGAAACAGCATTCGTAAGCGGCAGCTGCCACCTCTAGCACGCCGACGCTACGCCAGGCACCAAATTAAGACCTTTGTGTCCATCATTTCCTTTCAATCTCCCAGCAGCCTTGTGAGGTTCCTTGTCTTACAGATGCAGAAACTGACGCTCTGAGAAGTAATTAGCCCAAAGTTCGATGTCCCGGAAATGTAGCCTGTGTTCTAACCCTCATCTGAGTTTCCCAAAAGCTAAATGAAATGAAGCTTCAGAACGCAAACACAAGCTTCACGTGCCAGAGGGTGGCTCCACATAATTTTGTTGTCACCAATTCTGACGGTGGGACAAAGCTTGAGCCCTCTCCCCAGGGGGGTGATGCAGAGCACCCACCACACAGCGGTTGTCCTGTTCCTTCTAGAAACTCACAGCCCCTGGGGGTCAGCCATGGGCCTATGGCTCCAGGAAACCGAGGTCACACGTCCTGTCTAAGGAGATTCTGTCCTTGGAGGAATCCAGTGGCGGAGTCTGTTGTGAGACTTGGAATGTGTGGAAGACCAAGCCCACATTTACCAGCCGTAAATCTGGACGGGCATATGTTGAACTTGCTTAAAATACGGTATATTTAAAGTATGTCCTGCCAGGAGAAGCTTTTCTGCCTCTCTCTTGGCTGACTATGAATCCGAAACCCCCATAGGCTATAAATTCAACATTATATTCTATCTTGCTTGAAGATAAATATAATGGTGTTCGAATGTGGGCTCGTAGCCACTGTCTACACCTGTTGGTCTGTATGAAAAGTGCATTCCGTGACCTAAGTGAGACACTTTTATCTTCAAGTCAGAATAGCAGTGCTGAAACCAGAAGACGCAGTGAGAGTCGACAGATTTGAGAATCCCATATGTTCACACCAAAAAAGAAAGCAAGCCCTTGATTGTCAATGGAGTGGAAGCCACGGGTCCTGCCTCCCTCAGTAATCGACCTGGGGTTTCAGCCCCAGCACGGTCGACACCGGGGCGCCCTGTGCACTGCGGCCTGCACACGCTCACTGCCCAACCCCACCGCTCCCGCTGCAGGTGGTGACAACAGAATGTCCCCAGATGTTCTCACATGTCCCGGGGTGGGGGGGGAGGCAAATCGCTCCTGGTTGAGAACCACTGAACTAAAGACAGAACAGGAATCTCATACATTAGCACCAAAAAAAAAAAAAAAAAAAAAAAAAATAGCGAGCAGTTATTTGTTGACGAACAAAGAGAACCACATGAAAACTCCCCGTCTGTTACTTACCAGACCAGAGTGGCGCCCACATCACCTTCTCTGCTCCGTGTCCTGCCTGCGCCGTGGATCAGCATCTCTAGGTGTCAGGCCCGCCGAGAACTCAGCCTCCCGGATGGCTGTCTCCCAGACTCTGTCCACCCACTCCCGGGCGGCCTGGCTCTGCGCCCGGATGCTGCACCGAGGAGACCCGAGCAGGACGGGTGGGGACCAGGGCGGGTGGTGCCCACTGCTTCCCCCGTGTGGATCTGCCCTCTTTCCAGCACACTCCTCACCTCCGAGCTCTCGCATTCTAGAACCCCGCGGAAAGGTGCTCTTTGTTCTCCTCACCAAAGGCAGTTCCGTGATGCTCGTCTGTGTGACTCCATACAGGGTGGTCCATTTGAACCGGCACTTACAGGACCCCCTACATCTTAAGAGGAGGCGATCTGGTCTGAGATGTCCAGCCAGCAAGCCGCTCTGATGGGCGCTTAATTACCACTGGTGATTTATAATAAACAGCGAAAGAAAAACTCCTCGATTGCCTAAATCGCTGGTTTCTGCGGGCAGTTTTTGTGAGGTTTCTGCTTCCAGCCCTTCTGTTTGTTTTGCGGCCTGGCTGGGCTCCAGAAAGCACAGTTACACAATCTCTGGCCGGCCTGGAGCCTCCCAGCATCCCGCTCTGTGATTCCAACCCCGTCACCCTGATTCTGGTAAATTCTGGTAATGAACGTGGCCGACTCTTGTTCCTCTTGCTGGCACGGTCCCCAATGCTCAGGGCACGTAACGGCCGGCTCTGGGGCCCCCTGGCCAAGTCACCTTTGGGAAGACTCCTACCCTCTGGGAGCCACTGTGCTCTCATCTGCGAAATGGGAACACGGGAACATCGCCCTCATGGGGTTGTTGTCTTAAAAAAGCCAGGTAGATGTTTCTCCATCCTGTCTGGCAACAGGAGGCACGAAGAGGCAGCACCTCCCGGCAGCCGAGCCAGACGTGGGGACGGCCCTGAGCCATGTGAGGGAGCGTTGCAACGCAGCGGGGCTGTCCAGGATGGACCAGCTGCGGTCCCAGCCCCGTCAATGTGTACGTGCCCTCTGCGCAGGAGGCAGGGGTTGTAGCCCTCCTTGTTCAGGGGAGAAACTGAAGGCAGCTGAGTTTGCCGGGTCACCCGTCTCCAGCCCCGACTCTGCCACTGTCTGACTCAGAACCCAAGACTCGGCATATTCTTATTCAAAACCAGCAGAAGCGTCGCCCAACACAGGCCCGGAAGGCGAGGAAGGCACCACGAATGAGCCCAGAAGGACCCAGACGGTATTTCCAGCCAGTAAGAGGCCACAGAAATACCTCTGTGCTTCACCCCAAAGAAAGCTGTCAGAGGCCGGAGAATTGCCCAGCCCGCTCTTCAAGGGTTAACTGTTTCCGAGCTCTGTGGAGACAGCACGGGGAGCAGAGCAAGGCAGACCCAGGCAGCGGCGGTCGGCCAGCTGTCTCCTCTCTCTTTCCACCCGAATAAACACTGTGCAAACAGCCCCTTGCAGGAGAGCGGGCAGTGAGCGTGGAGGTGTGTGTGAGCCTGGGCGTGAGCACGTGTGTGTGCAGGGGTGGGGGAGAGTGTGAAAGGAGAAGTGGTTTCTGAAAGGAAGCAGGAGCGCCCTGAGCCCTAAACGAGAACTGACACTCTGGGTGTGGAAGGGCAGCTACATCCAAGAGTCAGCAAAGTGCCAGAAACCGCCCAAAAGAACACTGTAGAATCATTCACTCTCTTTTTTGTTGTTTTTTAAAATTTTTTATTTGTTGTATCTTTTTTTGAGGAAGATTAGCCCTGAGCTAACATCTGCTGCCAATCCTCCTCTTTTTTTGCTGAGGAAGACTGGCCCTGAGCTAACATCCATGCCCATCTTCCTCTACTTTATATGTGGGACGCCTGCCACAGCATGGCTTGACAAGCGGTGCCATGTCCGCACCTGGGATCCGAACCGGTGAACCCCGGGCTGCCAAAGCAGAATGTGTGAACTTAACCACTGTGCCACCGGGCAGGCCCCCATTCACTCTTTTTTATGACATTCGCTCAATCTTTTCTTAAAGAAAATAAGTGAAACAGCTATGGTCTCCAGACAGGTTGCCTCCCTCAGTCAAACTGCAGTTGGTCTCTAATGGAATGTTCTACGTCAACAGCAATGTTCCTGCTACTTTGAAACCCTTTACCCATAATAAAAGCCACTTTGATGAAGCACTGTCAGGCACATAAAATCTAAAAACTGCCAAAAACTGTAAGGTGGTTAGGACTTAGATTATGTCTGTTTTACAGGTGGGAAAACTGTGGCTATAAATTGCGTCTCTTTCACCAGGATCTAGGACATTCTTTTTTTTTTTCAAGCTATGTTACAATATGGTTTGAGTTTTAGTTGTTGTTTTTTCTTTTTTGCAGGGGAAGATTCACCTTAAGCTAACATCTGTTGCCAATCTTCCTCCTTTTTCTTCCTTTTTATCCCCCAAAGCCCCAACCCAGTTGTGTATAGTTGTAAATTCTTCTAGTTCTTCAGTGTGAGCCACCACCACAGCATGGCTACAGACAGACGAGTATAGGTCTGCGAGCAGGAAACTAACCCAGGCTGCTGAAGCGGAGTGCAACTAACCTAACCACTGGGCCATCAGGGCTGCCTCTGGGACATTCTTAATGAACCCAATTTACAAAATATTGATTTATAGGAAAAGATACTTTCAGACATGATGTACAAAACCAAACGAGACGACTCCATTTCCAAAATCCCATTTCCACGTGGCTTGTCAGAAATACCCCAGGGAGCGAAGTCACACATTTCCATCAAGGACCCTATTTCCAGGTAACAAGGCTGTGCTGTAGGAGACCAGGAAATGTGTCCCCTAAGGCAGGCCAACAAGCCCAGAGGTCACAGCACCAGGAAAGGATCGTCCAGTTTGGAAAGCAAGCCTCGTCTCCAGTTTTGTGGCGTGGATGGCTTATGCTCTGAATGTCGGCAGGTTTAAAAGCCCTGGTGTCCAGCACACAGGGACGGACCCTCACTGTGGCCCCCCAGACAAGGCAGGGACGATCCTCACTGTGGCCCCCCAGACAAGGCAGGGACGATCCTCACTGTGGCCCCTAGACCAGGCAGGATGGACCCTCACTGTGGCCCCCAGACAAGGCAGGGACGATCCTCACTGTGGCCCCTAGACCAGGCAGGATGGACCCTCACTGTGGCCCCCAGACAAGGCAGGGACGATCCTCACTGTGGCCCCTTGACCAGGCAGGGACGATCCTCACTGTGGCCCCTTGACCAGGTAGGAAGGGAGCCTCACTGTGTCCCCTAGAACATTCCTCTCTCCTGCTTCTCTGCAGGGCCCCCTCCTGAGTGACTGCTGCGGTGGAAACCGATTTCCCTGGAAAACACGCGTCCCTGACGACTCCAATCACAAAGAAGTCCGTGCTCCAGCCGTGAGGAGCCAGCAGACGGTGCTGCAAGGGGAGTCCAAACGGATCAGCTCAAAGCTGGGTCCCCACGGGGGCTCTGCGACGTCCGGATGTCAGCGCAGAGAGAGGAAGTGAGGGATCTGACCCAGCTCCCCAGCCATCCTTGACCAGGAGGGAGTGGTACGGGGTGGTGGCTGTGTCCCTGACCAGGAAAGTGGTGGGGACGCCACTGACTAGGAAGGGGACCAGAGGTGGTGGGCCTCCCTGACCGGGAGGGGGTGGCAGGAGGTGGTGGGCCTCCCTGACCGGGAGGGGGTGGCAGGAGGTGGTGGGCCTCCCTGACCAGGACGGGGTGGCAGGGGCTGGAGGGGTGTCCCTGACCAGGAGGCTGCAGGAGGTGGTGGGACATCCCTGGCCGGGAGGTGCGGCAGGCGGTGGTGGGGACAGAACAAGCAGGGAAGGCTGTAGGCACGGCTGCCTGGTTTCTGGGACTCCCTCCCCTTCTCACCCCTGCCTCGGGCTTGGCCCCCATCCACAGGGGATCAGGGCTCAGGCGCCCTCCCTCTGGAGGCCTGGCCTCCTCCCACAGAGCACTCTCCCAGTGAGCCCGCTAGATCTGGAGGGCCTGCCCCGCCCTCAGGATGTGGCCTGTGTGTGTCCTGTCTCCGGATACTCTCCTGCCATCGCCATTCTCCTGACTTGGTTTCCCCTGAGCTTCTAAGGTGCCCACTCAGCCCCTTGGGCAGCCGCTGGAACAAATCTCTCGGCCAGGCTGGGTCCAGGCGTCGGAGCTTCTCACCTGGGCAGATAGACTCCAGGGCCCGCCGCGGGGCAGATGGCTGAGAGCCCAGGAGCGAGGAGCGCCAGGCAGACCTGGGGTGGCACACACACTGACCTGATAGAGCACACCCTCAAGATGGCTTAGATCCCAATCAGCGTCCACTGGCCTGTGACGTCCAGTGGCCTTACCTTCTTATAAGGACAAGATGCCCCCACTCCCTCCCTGCATGGGAGCTGTCAGACCAGTCCTGCAGCACCCCATCTCTTGTCTCTCGCTGGGTAAAGTGTACCCCAAAGGATGATGGGTCTCCGCATTTCTGGGCTGGTGACTCAGCCGCTCTGGGGGGATTGACAGCACCCACCTAGTCACACGTGGAGGGGCGAGTAAGCCAAGCTGCTGCGGGAGCTGTTCCAGGGGCACAGTCGATGGTTCTTACCTCCTCCCGCACCCTCCGTCCCAGATTTCCCTCTACCGCGGCCGGCACTTCAGCTGACTTTGGGGGATGGACCAGACTCATTCTCAGGGTACTGAAGCCCGTGGCGCCGCAGTGGCTGCAGCTGCTTATTTGTCACTGGGCACGGAGCACGAGGAGGCTCCACACAGAGTCCTCCGTTCCAGCTGCCCCCTTGGTGGAGGGGAGCCCTTGCTCTCCTGGCAATCAGTCGGTGACCGGCCGGGGCAGGGACGCCTTCCTCTGCTTGCTGGCCACAGCCAGGAGGGGCCCAGTGGCCAGGCAGCAGTCACATCTTCTAGTTCGGTGCGACTCCACGTCCCCGGGTGGAAGGCTGCCCCTTGGGAGACGAGACCTGCATCCCAGGAGCGCTGAAGTTTGCAGAGACGAGAAGCACATGTTCCCTGAGCGATGCTCAGAGGGGGTTACTCCTCCTTCCACCCCTTGGAGGCTGGAAGTCCAGGATCAAGGTGCCAGCAGATTCGGTGTCTGGTTAGGCTGGCTCCCTGGTTCATAGTCCACATCTTCTCACCGTGTCCTCACATGGGGAATGGGCTGGGAGCTCTCTGGGGTCTCCTTTATAAGGCACTAATCTCATCATAGGGGCTCCACCCTCATGACCTGATCACCTCCCACAGGCCCCCCCTCTTAACACCATCATATCAAGAGTTAGGTTTAACATAGGAATTTGGGGGGGGGGGCACACGTTCAGTCCACAGCACAGGCCCAAACTCACCCACACCTGTGGTTTTGACCTCATCCATCCCAGGCTGCTGCTGGGGTGCCAGGTGCCAACCCCACGTCAAGGCATTCTTGAGTCTGTAGTGGTGGAAGGAACCAGAACCTGTGTGGACCCACCAGCTCAGGCCTGGGCCTGGAGCCACTGTGGCTGCTGCCCCAGAGGGTATGAGGGCTGAGCCGAGCCCTGCCTCGCCCCACAGCAGGACAAGTCTCTGAGCCTGTGGGCAGATGGCAGACACGCAGATGTGGCCCGGGTCCCACACGTGTGGCTGTCACTGTAGCTCGTAGGTGCCCCAGGAAGGGCCCGAGGCTGTGCAGAGCAGGCGGGTGAATGAAGAGACGATTCAGCCCCAAAGGGAGGCTCAGAGCCTGACGGAACCTGGCCAGACTTCTCTGAGCACACACAGCACTCAGCTGTCTAGTCCATGCAGTTCCTTTTATACGCTGCCCCCTCCGGTGCTTGCTGTCCTCACTGAGCTCGTCTGTGACAGCAGGAAGCTGTGTCTTCACATAGGAGTCATCCATCCCTGCCCAGGTTCCCTCCATCCAAGCTGCCCCTCTGCGCCTGCTTTCTCAGGGTCTCTGGTCTCTCCCGATGGAGGCCGGGAGAGGTCATGCGTCTGTCACAGAGACGTCACTCCGGGACCAGCCCGCACAATCGCGCCATCAACCTCAGTAAAACATCGTGGACGTACTTCTTGCTACTACCCTTCGGTCCCAGCAGATTAACCCCGTGCCTCTATTTCCCCTGTCTGTCCGGACAGTCGGGCCTGGCCTGGCACAGCATCCGTAATAATATGGACACTCATTCCTTCCCTTCAAAGCAAACGTGGGCTGAGCGTCTGCTCGGGGTGCTGCACTCTTCTCTCTTCTTTTGGGAACTGAAGGAGAATAGAAAACTAAACCATCCACTCTGAATCAGGGTGGTGGATGGAGAGCTCGCAAAATACCCCCTCTGGCTCCCAAAATGTAGAACTTCTGGACAGAAGTTTTTAAAATAAGAGCAACCCCTTAGGAAGCAAGGAGGAGGACTCTCCCAGTGCCAGAAGCAGAGAAGGGATTTACCGGTGAGTGAAAGAGCCGGGGGTGAGGGGCCCTGCGGCTGTGCCCTGAGAGGACGGGGTCACTGCTCACGCGGGCCTGCAGGCTGGAGTGCAACCCAGAGCCCGGACCACTGAGTGTCCACGACACACACACACACACTGTCACAAACACTGTCACACACACATGCCATCACACACACACCCCGTCACATACACGCCATCACACACACACGCTGTAACACACACGCCGTCACACACACACCACACACACCATCACACACCACCTCACCTCACACACACCATCACACACACACCATTACACTCATACCATCAGACACATACACACACCATTACACACACACTCCTGCTTGCATTTGCTCAATGATTGCTAAAAACTCACATCAATTAAATGACACACTACCGGGGCTGGCCCGGTGGCACAGCGGTTAAGTTCACACATTCCCCTTCAGCGACCGGGGGTCCGCCGGTTCAGATCCCGGGCGTGGACACGGCACTGCTTATCAAGCCATGCTGTGGTAGGCATCCCACATATGAAGTAGAGGAAGATAGGCACGGATGCTGGCTCAGGGCCAGTCTTCCTCAGCAAAAAGAGGAGGATTGGCAGTAGATGTTAGCTCAGGGCTAATCTTCCTCAATCAATCAATCAATCAATCAATCAATCGACACAGTACCATTCAAAGGCAGTCATTTGATGAATGGAACTACAGGTTGGATCGTTATGTGCAACTCTGCGTAGAGCTCACAGAACGTCCTGGATGTGCCCGGTTTCTGCCCCATGGGATTTCGGAATGGCATATTGTTGTAAAGAGCTATTGTGCCCAGAGATCTATGGAGGAGACCATGACTATGGAGACCCTCAGAGAACACGGGCTGGGGCCACCACTCAGCTCCCCATCGCAAGTTCACCCCCTTCTCAGGCCTTCAGCTGCCCCGGTGGCCAGGACCCGGGTGACAGCCCCGTCACTCAGCCACCCAGCTCTGCACACCAGCTCCCTGGGCTCCTAGGGGCCTCTCTCTAGATCGATCATTCGAACGGATGAACTCTTCAGATGTTCTTTCCCTAAATTCATCTGTTTACATGGGTTTTTTTGGCCTGAAATACAGAAGTACGTCAACTTTCCTATAATATGTCCAGGTAGCATTAGAAATATCTCAATGCCACGTTTCCATGACATTTAGGATCAGTTTAGGCATCCTAATACATGACATTTGACATTCAGGATCTTTCTATGCATCAAAACTGGTGTTCTCACATACAAAGATTCTGACCTCCAGAGAGACAATTAGCCCTGTTTAGCCAGTCGGCTGATTATTTATGAGACACGTGCCACTGATACACACAGAGTCAAAGCAGTCAAGCATCTAACACATAACAACACACCAATTACACAGCAGATCCAGAAACCAAGAGATGCGCCGTGATGTTTAGGCGTAATCAGAAAGAATTACTTGAAATTGCTGACAAGTGTAAGTATTAACTTTTGTGTGCGTGACGATTTATAGTGTTTCCAATGTGTTCTTTAAATACGTTTTCTCACTGGGATTAAGAATAAACAGGCTCTCCACGGAGGGAAATCTTCAGGAGCCCGTCTGTAAATTTATGTTTTAAAAGGGAAGACTGTTACATTTTAATGAAAAGATAGGAATAAACTGGTATTGAAAGCTCTCAGATATGACTGGAGAGTAAACCATGTCAAGTGATATGTGGCATTCCAGTGAGGTTTTTCTAAATACACCATCCAGTTACATCGCAAATGGAAGCCTCACCTGGTACAGCTTTTGGTTTTTACTTATTTATGCTGTAAAAACTTGGCAGTTGTAAGTTGAGTTTTTTGAGATATTGATGAAGACCGAAAACCTTTTGAGTATCACGGTTTAAAGAAGAGGCATGCTTGTCTTATTTGGTCCATGAAAACACTGAGAAACATGCTTGTTTTAATCAGTGCAAATTGCACGGAGCTTGGTCCACTGCAGATACCTCTCTTTATGATCTATATTAAACTCTCTCACCTCAGTGTCACACAAAGTAAAAACTAGCACGTACATGGGTCTCTGAAAGACTTTTAGCACCTACTACAAATTCAGAGCATTCTGTCCTGGTACATTGTGACTGGCTCTGGAATTTACGCGTAAACCCTCAAACCAGCAGGTGGTGATGCCGAATTTGAAAGGGCCTGTCAGACCATCCCTTTACTGCCCAGAACGTAAACGCCCTTGTGTGTTATGGGGGAAAAAAGGCAACTCGTAATATTGTATTTTTAAATAAAAAGACTTTATTTATGAAATAAGATAGCAGCTAACAGTTTAAGAGAGCGTGGGGAGGGATTACTTTCACAAGTGGACAGATACGCACCTTGGAAAATATTTGGCTAAGTTTTAAAATTAGCATTTTAGTCATCTGTAAAGTGCTGAGAAATTTACTTCCAGGGAACACCTGCATTAGTTTTTTTTAACCCTCCGTTAAGTAGAACACTGATAAATAAATGTATCGGGAGCATAGGGGAACTCATCAATTGCTCAGGCACCTCAATGTGGGCTGGCTCTATGTGCACTTGCCGAAGGGACGTCAAAACGATGGGCTGTGTTGACCAGAGCGTCACCTGTCTTGGCCTGTGTCCCACCGCCAGCAATGGCACAGCCACACTGACTAGCACCACGAGTCGTTCAGAAGGCATATTCAAAAACAGACACAGCGTTGCAGGTCAACAGGTGCAAGAAAGACCATGAAATAATCAACTGAGACACTTCCCGTCCATTTCCTACAACACTAAACGTTCCTTTTCTAACGTGGATACTAACACTATTGAATAGAAGAAGGGAAGAATATTTTGGCGTGGACGCTCGAGCCTAGACATTGATGAGTAATGAGCATTTTGGTTCCAAGCAAACATTATTTGGGTAATGTTACAGATAATTTATTGACTAAAATATTAACTGTTAATTTTTAATAGAAAAATGCAATATAAAAATACTACTTTGTTAAAATATACAATACACCTATTATACCACTTTGGAAAACCCAGCTTACATCAGAAAGCCAGAAACACCCTCTGGACTGGTGCATGTTACCTGGCTTTCTTCATTGTTGCAAATTCTATTCTGGAATTAAAAGATATACAATATAAATAAAAGCAGTGAATCTGAATCATGTAGAATTATTTTAAAAATTGTTAATAAATTCCTACACTACTGAATATGCTGTATTTTCCCATAAGTTCTTAGTCTGCAAATGGTCTAAGTAACAGGATAGGTCTGGAGCATTCCGTATTTATATATACGGACTGCAGAGCTCACCCAGAATGTCTCTTCCCAGAACTTACGAGGACTCAAACCCAGCGTTGATCTTCTGATCTTCTGCCGTCTTCACAAGTGTTTGTACTCAGTTCTGCTGCTGCAGGAGAAGCAACGAACTGGCAGGAAAATGCCGCCATCCTGATATTGCACTTTTCTTCCCCAAGGATGGTTTTTAATTTACCCTCAACCAGTGTAGACACGGCCTAAATCACTCTGGTGACCTGACTTGGCAGAAAAGTCATCCTTGACTTTGGATTCCGACGCCGGGAAGCGGGTGCTCAGCTCACACGTTGAGCAGGGGGATCTGCCAGACCATGACAGAGGAGGCCAGCTCCTCCGGGCGCTGCTGCCTGGCCTTCCTGCTCACCCGACGGTGGCCCTGGCCGCCGCACGCCACCAGCACAGAGCTGGCTTTCGCCTTCCTGGCCCGCCGCCCTCTACTCGGCGAGATGTTGGGGTGCCGCAGGAGGTCGTAGATGATGCTCTCCTCGGACCTGGGTTCCAGGGAGCCGGAGCCCTGGGATGGCGTCAGGGACCCGGACGAGGATGAGAAATCACTTCTGTGGGTCATGGAGCCCAACGAACCCCCCAGCCAAATGGCGTCGGTGCTGCCCTGACTCAGGCCGGGCTCGGCCCCCTCGCTGGGGAGCGCGTCCTTCTGGTCTTCATCCTGGGGGTCCACGCCGGGGGGCGGGCTGTCCCTGGGCTTGTCCTTGTCTGTCTTGAGGGCAGCTGTGGCCACGACCAGGAACTTGACAGGCCCATTGTGTGCGTGGTAGGACACCATGCCCCTTCCTGAAAGAGGAAAAGGTTCAGCACTGGCACTCCGGACAGTGTTACAGGGGGACCAACGAGCACGGCGCAGCCCACCCACTGCATCTCTCTCGTCCCAACAGTCAAACCCTGCAGTAACTCTAACACTTGATTGACAGGTAAGATAAAAACAGCTTCCAGATCATGTTCTCGCGGATTTTTAGTGAATTCCAAGAAAGCTTTCAAAATGACGGTCTAAAACACACTCTTGGGTTTTCACCTACAGGACCTTGGTTCTAATACTCGTGCTGTACTTTTAAAGGAATAAAATAGCTGTTTTCCTGATCTCTGCATAAACAACTTCTCACTTACTCTAAGGAAAAACATTTGATTTTCCTAAGTCTTGATTAAAAAAATTAAACTCCTGAAATGTGTAAGTTTTAGGAACAAGATGCCTAAACCAGCAGTAGCTTCCTGCCATTTTTCATTACAAAAGGTTCCGTGGTTTAGAATGAGTTAGTTCTATGGTTTTCATTACAATGGGGACTTTTCAGCTTAAAGATCATGTGAAATGAATCTTAAAATCGTCTTCTGACACAAGAGCACACGTCAGAAACTATCCATAGGTCCTTTCATGGAAACGCCGATCTCCTGGAACACCCCGACCCTACGTGTCAGGTGGGAACATGGTCCCCCATCTTCTAAGCGCCTCACAGGTGACGTGACATGGGTACGGGAAGCATGTGTCCTTTCCAGGAAACCAGGCCCTGCCCCTCACCTGCGTCCCTCTGTGGCCAAAGCTGGAGGACACACACCCAGGGGAACTCGCACCCACAATGCAGGATGAACACTCGCAGAGGCAGTGCACGTAACGCAAGCACTGGGAACAACTCAAGACCCACCACAGACACACAGGTAACACAGGCTACACGGCAGTGGGCGCGAATGAGCCACAGCCCACGCACCCACAGGGACGCGCCTCAGAAACAGGGATGCAGTTATCACAGGAATACATACGACATGAGACAGTTACAGGAAATGCAAAAGCTGCAAAATTAAAAGTGTGGTTTTTCAAGGTACAAATTGGCAAAACGAGAGAGAAGATGAATGGAATGATGATGTAAATCTCCCAAGAAGAGCTATGTTGGCTGCAGGGGAGGGGCGCCTAGTGGCCCAAAGTCCAAGTAACGTCCTCCTGCCCGAGCCAGTGCAGGTGGAGGTGGCTTCTTGTCAGTACCATTGAAACAGGACGTACTCACTCTACACAACTTCTTGTACGTATAGATCACAATAAAAAGAGAAACTAAGAAGTGAATGAACAAAATTAGAATTCCTTAATCTTAACAGGTGGATCATGACAAAATATGCATTCATCTCAGGGCTGGCCCCATGGCCGAGTGGTTAAGTTCGCGCGCTCCGCTGCAGGTGGCCCAGTGTTTCGTTGGTTTGAATCCTGGGCGCGGACATGGCGCTGCTCATCAAACCATGCTGGGGCAGCGTCCCACATGCCACAACTAGAAGGACCCACAACGAAGAATATACAACTATGTACCGGGGGGCTTTGGGGAGAAAAAGGAAAAAAATAAAATCTTTATAAAAAAAAATATATGAATTCATCTCAAAAACAGGTGTAGCTCCAATAGATTTGTCAAAGCTTGTTGAGGCAAGGAAGGGGGACTGAAGTCCCAGTGAAATACTCTAGTGTTGATAAGGAAGAAATTATAGAAATAGAATCTTTGCTAACATTTTGGTGAGCTTCCTACAAATTTTTTCCTCTGAAAATTTTTTTGTCTGCACAACTGATATTACATAATCAACATTTTAAAATTTAAGATCTTGGTTTTACTTAACTTACAGAATTAACATTTTTCTCTATCATTCAAAATGCTCCACCAACATCACTTTTACTGGCTGTGTTATATTCTTAAATGGCAATATGACCTTTTTCTTAAACATCTCCCTACTCCTAATTTTGAACATTTAGGTTGTTTCCTGTTTTGTGCTATTAAAATTTAAATGCTGTGACAAATATCTTTTTGTATCACGCCTTGTTCATAGATTTGGCTGCCTCCCAAGACAGATTCCTGAGTTGGAAATCCTGATTCCAGACACATGAGCATTTTCAGGCTTGTGGTCCATAATGCCAAATTGCTTTCCAAAAAGGCTTACGTCCATTTAAATCCCACCAACAAGGCAAAAAAGCAGCTGAGCCTTTTCAGATGCTGGGCTTCCTTCTTTGCAATATAAAGAGCATCCTTTTTCACTGAGCAAAACTGTATATGATGACAGAAACTAATAGGTGGCAATAAGGGTAATAAGAAAACCTTTTTTGGGCTAAGATTACCCCTGGATCACCAACATCATAAAGAGGAAAGCAGAAGTATGAATTGATGATTCAAATTAATGCACAGAGTCTTTATAGTACACTAAAAAAACCCGAGCCAAATGACTTAAATTGTTCAAGCAATTCCCAGGGTGAGGAAGCCCGATGCAGCCCCAGGTGACTCACGGGTTTACGGGGTACCAGCCGGCGTGTGGAGGTGTCTACTCACCGGTCACTTTGGGGATCCCCTGCAGCCGGGGGACGGGCAGGGCCACCACGACACCCAGGCTGGTGCCAACCATCAGCAAGCCGTGGCAGACGAGCAGGCTGGTCACGGACAGCCGCTGGGGCCCTGGAGGGAGACAAAGAGGAGCCTGGTGTCTGCGGGGCCCACGTTGGGCAGGCACTCGGGGATTGTCCAGAAACACTACGGACGTTGTGCCAGAGAGCCCACTGCACCCACACCAACCCCTCCTGGGGCAGCAGGTGCCCGCAGAGCTCCACACCTGCACACACACTGCGCTCACTTCAACTGGGCGAGAATGAAACGGACCCTGGGAAGCAGACTGTGCGGCCCCCACAGGGGACACACGCATGCTGACCTCGCATCTGCGCTCTGCAACACCCGGGCTGGCTCTTCCAGAGGCAAGTCGAGTTTCCCAGAATCGTCCATGTAAATCATTTCCTCCCAGTCAGTGCAGCAACGAGCCCTGAGGCACACACACGCGCACATGTCACACACATGTCACACATCACATGCATGCATACACGTCACACGCACCCACATGCCAGACTGGTTCTGAGCGAGCACGCAGCCACCCTACCCATATATGACAGGTCCAACACAGGCAGGACGGACTTCCGGTGCAACCTGCACATGTCACATGGTGGGACATGCCGTGTGACTTCCCAAACGTTCTGCTGGGAAAGACAGTGTCTCGTGGACCCAGAGTGAGGAACAGTGGAAAACACTGACAGACAACACCAGTGTCAGAGGGAGCGCCTGTTGCCTTTGTTCTACAGCCAAGGCCCCGAGGCCCAGAGCAAGTGAACATGTGCTCTGCGAGGTGACAAGGTCAGGAAGTGGGGATCAGAGACGGTCACAGCCTCGCCCCGCTGTGAACACCTCCCGGAGTGAAGGGCGGTCCTGGACTCCCGCGTCAATCTACCGCTGCACTGACCCCACTGCAGCCTCACAGCCTCCAAGAGGAGATTGAAAGAACTCCTGCCGTTTCTCTGTTTAGCCCTGAAGCTGCTGAGCAGAGTTTAGTTTGCTCATGAGAAGCAGTGGTGAACACTAAAAAACCACTCGATCCTTCTTCTCTGTAGAAATAAAACTATTTTTCAATGTCTCTGCATGTGACCCGAAGGCCATCTTAGATAAAACGCACGAAAGGCAAATGATCTAATACTGCAGCCAGCGGTAGAGTGACATGTCTGCAGAAGTCATTTTATGAATTATTTAGGAAATAGCCAAAAGAACCAAACCCAAAAAACAAACTACAAAAAACAAAGATTTGGTTTTATTTATATAGAGACTTAAATTATTTCTAAAAAGGGAATAGTATTTATGTTGCCAGGAGTTCTGAATGCTTGCCCGTTTGAGTGACTTGGGTTGCAGAGACTCATGGAGCCACATGTCAACCTACAATGCTCTCCTGCCAGCAGGCAAGGTGACAAGGCGTCCTTTTCAAAAGCTAATGAGAAATGCTGAAATTCAGAAATTTAGCAGTGTGATGCTCAGCACCGCTCACAACTATTACTACTGCCCGGCTCTTCACAAGGTCGTAGGCAGCACCTCGGGAGGTGAGCCCAGCATGCTGGGGAGCGTGAGAGCAAACGCGGCTGCGTCTTCCCGGAGCCTCAGTCTCGCTCAGCGCTGAGTACTGCAAAGGTTAAACGTGGCCATCTTATAAAAACCATCTGCATTCGAGCTTAGGATGAGAGCCGAGTCCATCCTCTCCAGCCCTCCTGGAAACCGCTGGTGGAAGCGTTGGCGAAGTGGCTGGGAGACGGCGACATCTGCAACTGGTTCACTGCCCTGGGCTTTCTGTTTTGCTTCCATAAAACTTCGCTTTCCCCCGCTACGCCTGACGTACAGGAGCGATAGACCGTTTTCTACTTAAAGCTTTCCATGTGAATAATTAACTCACAACATTGACAGAAACGGGCCAAACAGAACTGCAGCCCAGCAGGAATCTCATGACCACCGGGACGGACCCCACTCCCGGGAGCCAGAGACAGGCTGGGGGCCTCGCTCCCTGCAGCCGTTTTTCCTGAGCTGCTGGTCATGGAAGGAACATACAAACTGGGCTGTGGATTTGAATAAATTCCCTTTTTAAAATACAAAACTATTGGAAACAGTAAAAACAAACAGACTCTCAGGACTTCTCCCCAATAGTCCCCATCCTGGTTTCGGGGGCTTTGTGTAGAGGTGGGCTGGGGGAATGGTGGCATCGCATAATTCCACCGACACCCTCCTTTGAGTAGTCAGTCCTCGATATAAACGAAAAACATGTGTGCGAGTAAGTTAGATGTTTTTACGATCTATTTGAACATCCTGAAATATTCCGGTTTGGGAAACTGAGTTTCATCTTACTCCAAAAAAAGGAATTTATGAGTTAAGTTTTCTTTTGTAGAGAATTTATAATTTTTAAAATATTGCTGTGGAGCCATTAAAGAAGCTTTTGAAATACTTTTAATTCTACAAACCACTTGTTTTTAAATGCAGCTGATGAGGAAACAGGATTTCAAAGAGCCCATCTCCACAAGAGGGTTATACCTTTATAGTGCAGACAGCTCTTCCTAAAATATGATGTATAAGTATTTCCAACTGCTAATAAAAACATAAAAAAGAATTCACCTTCCAATCATGAAGGATAAAAATTCACTATTTATGTTCATTCAGAAACACATTTTGAATGCGATCTTTCATTCCTTACGGATTTTCCACCACTTTGCACGTGAATAGCATCTTGGAACATTCGACTATTCATCCTGTGCCAGCTTTCACATCTGTGTTCTGTTCTGTGTCCTAAGAACCCAGGAAACGTTCTATAGTCTGTGTAAAGAAACTCCTTCCTTCAGAAGCGGGTCTTTCTACAGAGAAAGCACAAAACAAGCCAAAGGCACAGAAGGAGCCCGGGGTGGCGCTGGGATGCGAGAAGGGAAGTCACAGGACGAGGAAGACCCTGCATGGCCACCAGAAGGACCAAGTGAAACGACCACAGGGCTTCCTGGAGGAGCTCCTGAAAGGACCAGCCCAGATCTGTTTTCATTATAAAGAAGGCGGAAGCAGGTGAAATCCAGATGTTCATTTTGCTTTCTAACCGGTTCGAAAGCTTTCAGAAACCGAGTGAGATAATACGTTCCAGGGAATGACGGTTTATTCGCTTTTGAAAATGGTCTCTGAGTCGTCATCTCTAATTTTACCTACGAACGTTTAACTGAAATAGTAACTAGGGAATGTGGTGATTTTCCATTTCAAGAGGCGCCATGGACAGCGCTGCTGGAGAGCTGCCCGGATGTTACCTGCAGAGGCACCAACAGTGGCCCTCAAGGTGGGACGGCAGGGAGCTCCCCGGGGACGGCTCTGAGTTGGCCAAGCTTAGGGGCCATCCACTCACCTCACAGCCAAGGGGGAGGTGGGTCGGGGGTGGAGGTAGAGGCTGACTTGGTGACAAAGGGTGCAAGTCCCACAGGGGGTTTTAAAATGAGTTGTAAACATGAAGAGGGGACTGCCCACACGTCAGCTGCTGTTTCCAGAACCCAGCAGCCTCGTTACACCAGGCACACAGAGAGAAACAAGAACCTCTAGTGAAGGAGTGCAGCCCGCGGGCTGGGGGCGCATCAAGGCGGCTGTCCAGCTTTATTCCAATGTGCACAATAAACACACAGGCAGAGGGAGTGAATCAGAGAAGCATGCCTTCCACGTGGGGCAGGTAATGCTACAGCTGAAGTCCTTCTCTGCTCTCCCCGACAACAGAGCAAAGGAAGCAGGCAGGCCCGAGCTGCTGGTTAATCCAAGATTAAGTGCTGGTTAGTCAGCTGCTGGTTAATCCAGGACAGCACCGGGAGCCGAGAGGACTCGGAACCCCAGTGCTCAGTCTTGTTCCCTAATTCATAAATAATTTTGAATCTGGTTTAACTTGCTGAATTCCCTTAGGATGTGGTCAATGGTATTTAGAAAAGTTACCCTGATTTGTTTAAAAATGGAAATTCTGGACCCTTGAGTGGGTTACGTTGTCCCTGGAAGGTGATGTGTTCCCTCAGTGAGGACGAGGAAAGGCTAATTTGACACGAGGCCTCAGCACTCTTCCACTAAAAACCTTCTCCTCTGAATATTCCCGACGAGGCGGAAGTATCTGCATCACGATGGCACTCACTGTCTTGCCCGTGACGCAGACCAGACGATGCTCCATCACTGCGATTGCTGCAAACCCTACTCCATTACGGCTGAGAAGTCGACTGACGGCTCCAAAAGCTGTCTGCTGGTGTCGGAAGGTTTCATCATCAATTGTCCGACTGTATCAAGTGGATGCGGGTTAACTCACAGAGCTTGAGCTTAACAGTTTTCAGAACTGCATTCTAAGTAGAAGAAAAAGGACCCAGCTCCCTCTATGCAGAGTCCTACACTGCACGGTCTGAGACCTCAGAGGAGGCACACGGATTTTATGAAATTTTGTTAACTTACAAAAAAGGTGGGAGTTACAGTGTAATAATTTTTTTTTTCCAAATTTTGTTCCTTCTGGCTTTGGAAGTCTTTATCTCTAGAACCTACTGGAATTTTACATTCCTGAGAGAGTGCAAAAGGGTAATTTTATGATCATTGCCATACACACAGAACAAAACCCATGTGGGCAACCTCACAAATGCAGTTCTACAACTGAGGTTTCATATACGTGTGAGCACAGGGCACGTGCAGGACCCGTGGACAGAGGGATCCAGAGAAGGACCCGAGCCCGACGCCTCCACTTCAGTGTGCTCACGAATAAGCGTGCAAACACGCATTCATGGAAACGTTTAAATGTGAAATGGAATAAAACAGTGATGCTTATGCCCATGGAACACTGGCCTCGGGTAAGACCATCTGCAAAGGGACAATGGAGGAAATGACAGAATCGCAAAATGCAATCAAAGCCAGACCAGCTCCGGTTAACCTTCCTGAGCATCGCACTCAAGGACCCCCGTCGGAGGCGCAACGAAGGGCGGCTGATTCCCAGTGTAACTGAGCTCTGCTCTAGCTCACCCGCCCATGGTGGAAGCAAAGCTTGGAAGGAGAATATGAGATGCAGATAAGGTGCAAAATGCCCCCAAAATACCAGCAAACTCAAAGGTGCTGCAAATACAATACAGAAACATGGAGAACAGGCCAACCGAAGGCACTCCGCTCCGCTCTGGGCTGGGTGCACGCCGAGCTTTCACACAGCTCTGGAAAAGAGACCCAACTCTTGGCACAGAAATAAATGAAGACCGGGGACCGAGGAGAGAGGCCAAGGGCACGTGCGCAGCAACAGATGGCAGCCCCAGGGTGGACGCGGACGTCAGCCTCGCACATCTGATTGCACAGTCTCCTGGGTTTGCAGAGAGGCTGGATGGACCATAATCAAAGGAAGGCTACGTGAATGGAACAAAACAAGGGAGTCAGCACCTGGATGGCATAAAACAGTCATGAAAACTGTCTTGAAAAATGAAGGAAATGCCACCCCAGCATGCCTTTTTCTTTTTGTTTTTGAGGAAGATTAGCCCTGAGCTAACATCCACTGCCAATCCTCTTTTTTTTTTTTTGCTGAGGAAGATTGGCCCTGAGCTAACATCGGTGCCCATCTTCCTCTACTTTATATGTGGGACTCCTTCACAGCATGGCTTGGTAAGTGGTGGGTAGGTCCACACCCAGGATCCGAACCAATGAATCCCAGGCTGCTGAAGTGGAGCATGCGAACTTAACCGCTGTACCACCAGGCCGGCCCCCCAGCATGGATTTTTAAAAGCAACATGGAGAGGAGGAGGTGAGGGCCAGCAGGGCTGACGGGGCCAGGGGCTGGGATGGAGCAGATCCTACAAAGGTCCCGGTCCCCTGGCACTTCTGTGGCCAGCCTGTCGGAGTTCCAGGACCTGGCAACCTTGGGGAAGGAGGGTGGCGACAGCAGCCAGCCCCAGGGCCAGTGAGGCCAGAGGGCAGCTGAGTCAGGACTCAGAGGGCTGGGAGGGCAGCTGAATCGCAGCCCTCACAGCACCCTCCCTCCTGAACGGACTTTGAGCACACGGCCACTTGCTGGCAGAATGAATGCGTGTTTTGGCAATTTATGAATTTCAATTAGTTTCATCCCAACAGCGACAGCAGATCGCAACCGCAAACATCTGTTCCACCAGCATGTGCACAGAAGAAAGCATGGCCCTGAGTCCCCGGCAGAGTGTAGGAGTGCTGTCAGAGGGAGGCTGACGCCACTGCGCTGCCTAAATATAACCAGTGTGTTACGTAAGTCTGCATTTCCCTCGCCAGACAAAAACGGCTGTGATACTTAAAAGGTGACTTGTGCAGGGTTAGCCCACAGATTCCGTCTCCTCCACGTGCACGCAGGTGCACACGCACACTCAGCAACCAGGAGGATGGACGTGTTACTCAGCTTGATCGCAGCCAACCCTTCCCAGCGTATACGGACAGCAAAATGCCATGCTGTACACCTCAAATCATACCATTCTACACGTCAAAGATACCGCAAGAAAAGTGCTAAAAAAAACAGCTGTCACTCACCCACCAGGCCCCCAACACAATCCCTCCCCGGGGGGTGGAGGCCCGGGCTGCCCTCCCTCACTTCCCATCCTCCCCCTCATCTCCCCACCCGCTCACCCCCTCCCAGGACCATGTTCTTCCTCCTGTCAAAGGTCAGCCTTTCTAAGCCTTTCTCGCCTTTGTAGAACGTGACCCTAAATTATTCTACGTTTCTCAGTGCATCACGAATGGTGATCTTTCCTCTCGCACCTTCGACTGAAGCTACAGACTCTTCAACGTTGTTGTCAACCAACCAACAACCAAAACAAGAGCCTCCATCACAGGCAGCTTGATTGGCATCTCCGATCTTGCTCAGCCTTTGACCTATGAGCTTATTGAGAGTGACGTCTAACTTCAGTCCCTCTATGTCCCCGGTTCCCTTGAGTGGGGCTCCCCTCTCCTCTTCCTCCCTCCCTCCCACACATGCACGCACACACACATGTATGTGCACACTCACACACGTGCACACACATGCATGCACATGAACACACACAGCACCAAGACCACATCCTTGGCCCATCACCATGGTGTTTTGCTGAATCTGGTACCAGTGCTTCCTGCAGCTCCCTCGCCTCTGTGCTCTCCTCTCCTTCCCAGCCCACCTCGGAACTTAGGAACGCCACACAGTGTGCCCCCTCCCACCCGGCTCCCCTAGAGTCCTCTCCCCTCTGAGCCCATTCTCACAGTCTGCATTCCCAGGAGCAGAGGGGCACCAGATTCTTGTGTTTGACATTTTCTCCCCATAAACCTCTCCCACCCCTGTTCCCCCATTCCTCCTCACACCCGACTAGGGTGTGTCCCGAACTGTGTCCCCTTTCCCGACTCCTCGTCCACGTGCCAGACGGCCTTCCCAATTTCCACCGGGCTTCTCTGCTCAGTGGCACCAAATGAAACACATCACTTTCTCCTAAAACCAGCTTCTCGTGCCCTACATCTGTGGGTGACTATGCCATCTCCCAGTACCCAGGTCCTGAATCTCAGCGTTTTCCGGCCCTTCCTCTCCCTAACCCACCAGTCACCAGTGCATGGTGACTCCCAGGGAGCCTCTCGTGCATTCTCGCCGGCGCTGGCCAGGGCACGTCCTCTGACCGCAGGAGGGCCACCGCCCCTCCTCCCATTCTCTTTCCACATGCTGCCGCCAGGATGCTCTTCCCCAAACCCAACTGGGACGGACTCTCCCCGTTCCAAACCCTGATTCTCGTCAGCATCACGGCACGCCGGCCACTCACAGCCCGGTCGCCTCAGCTTTCGGGCCTCTTCTTCCACTCGTCCCTCATGTTCATACATGCAAGCCACACGCTTATATACATGACACATGCCTACACATAGTTACTTGTGTATATACATCAGCTACATGTCCAGACATTCCGTCTACATGCTTATACAGACCAACTCCATGTTTACACATACTACCTACATGCTCACACACACCAGCTACCTGTTTATACACAATACACACATGTATACACCTAGCTACATGCTTACACACACCAGATACATGCTTACACATGCTACCTACATGCTCACACACCAGCTACCTGTTTATACACAATACGCACATGTATATACCTAGCTACATGCTTACACACACCAGACACATGTTTACACGTGCTACCTACATGCTCACACACACCAGCTACCTGTTTATACACAACAGGCACATGTATACACCTAGAAACATGCTTAAAACACATCAGATACATGTTTACATGCACTACCTACATGCTCATACAGATTAGCTGCATGTTATACATGCTAGCTTCACGTTTATACACACAAGCTACAAACATACATATTGGCTACATGCACATACATAGTAGCCACATGACTAAACACTGACTATCTGTGTATACACAGTAGCGACATGCTCATATGTACTAGGTGCCTGCTTACACATACTGGCTACATGCCCATATGTACACTAGCTACATGCTTATACATACCAGCCACATGCATACACATGTTAGCTACCTACATACACACACCAGCGACCTGCTGTCCTGCCCCCCTGCTCCGTTTGTTTCTTCTGGGAATACCCATCCGGCTCTGATTGGTGGAATCCCACCCTAGATGCTTCTTCTTGGCTCCCCCGAGAGCCCTCCCCCCAGGGAATGTTTCCTCTGTTTCTCCACTTTAGGGCCTTGCCCCTGCCCCCTACGTCTAGCCTTTTCAGGTTAACAATGAGAAATCACCTATGATCAACGGTGTCTCCTAACTCAGTTCTGTGCTAATGCACCGTCACTTGACACTGCACCCTTGCTGGAAGGAACCGCGCACACGTGAAATCGTAACACGGGCTGAGCCTGCACCCCGCCCCCCACCGCCTCTGCCTTTGGGGCCCTCCCGTCCAGATCCCGTACCTGGCAGCATGTGGTGGACCGGGGTGGCGATGTTGATGTCCTGGAGATGTTTGAGGGTTTCCGTGTGGAAGAGGCGGAGTGTGGACCCGGACGTAAAGGCGATCCAAATCCCCACGCCGGCAACGGCCATGTGAGAGACCACCATGCCTTCCTCCTGGTGGGCCTCGAGCTGGTTCTGGGGGAAGCAAGGAGAAGGGGGGAGGGCAGCGGGGCATGCATGCGCAGCTACAGCGCCGAGTCAGAGTCCGCAGAAACTGGCCCTGTGAACTGCGTGTGACGTCCTGGTTGTGCACCTGTCCCAGCCACGACATCTCCACCTGCAGCCCTGGAGTTACTCACCGCGCACCCTCGAGGACCCCCAGCAAGGAGACCGTCACTCCCAAACCAGACACCTTGTATATGTGGGAAACACCCTAGCAATCAAATCGCTCATTGTTTTTATTTTCCCCGAGCAGATCAGAGTGCTTTCTAAAACTTCACGGTACTTTCCAGTTGCCACGGCGTCCTCGGGGCTCGGGGGCTGAGAAAGCTGCAAACAGCAGCCCTTGGAGGCCTGCTGGAGGGCCTGACCCCACCAAGGAGGGCTGGAACTAAAGGGCGGTGTCCCAACGTGAGAACGGGCCCCTAGCAGGTTGGAAAATGGGAGGAAAACAGGAGTGGGCAGAGGGAACGCCCGGGAATGCAGAGCCGCGATTGCCAACTGAGGCTCCCTGGGCCCCGGTGTGGGCCCCCCAGTCCCCTCCCCAGACGCCTGAGCAGGAGTGACGCCCCAGCCTGCCTGTGGCAAGTCCCGCAGAGGCAGCCTCCCCCGCTGCTCTCGGCGCTCTTGGGTTCCCCGAGAGCCTGGGATGCACCCACTCCTGGCCAGGTCCCTGATGGCCACGGCCGCTCCTCCATTAGAGCGGGTCCTTCCTGAGCTTCCAGGCCCCACATCTCCATCCTGGCAACCCCGCGCTTCAGGGACCACGAGAGGGAACTTCTGCAACTTGGCCCCGGCCTGGACGCCGACATGGGGCAGCTGGTTCACCGCCTACCAGGGACTGGAGGAGAGGTGGGGTGGGGTAAGCATGGAGAGACGAGGAATCGGCGTTCTCAAGCAGTCCTCCAAGTGCACAGCAGCCCACAGTTCTGCCAACTCTCCAAATGGAAATAACGTAACGACCCACAGGAAAACCAACGGGCTTACATCTCTGTCCTCGGGGCTGTTCCGGAATGTCTGCAAACAGGGGAGAGGCTATTTGTGACCCACCACACTCTGAGGAGGGTGGCGACCCATCCTTGTATGCCCACCCCGCATGCAAAGGGTCGGCGGAGTTAAATCCTTCACGTTACACCCACACACCTTGCACCTAATGAGCCAAACTGATGGCAAACACATGCATTTTGATTCTAGTCGGACAGACGATTCCACCACACCTTGCTTCAGCTGAAGACTGCACTGGGACACGTGGCCTCCTGGGCCTGCTCACGGGCTGGGGTGCCGGGGGGAGCAGCGGCATGGGAGGCGGCCTGAAGCCTAGCACCCCAGGCCAGCACGGAGATTCCAGAGGCGGCTCACACATGGCCTGCCTGTGCGGCTGAGGCGCGACACCTTACGCGTGGAGCCGACTCCGCACCTGTCTCTGTGCCCCGGAGCCCACGGTTCCCTCCCGAGGGCCTGCACTCCTCGATGGAGGGCATGGGCGCCTTGGGCTGAGCACAGGCTCCAGAGGAAAGATCAGGACCCTGCTCTCTGGGGCCAGCTCTGGCTGCACTGGGGGGACACCTCCCTCTGGCCAGGAACTGGGAGCCGCCGTTTCTCCAAGGACCGTCCCATTCTGACATGCCTGTGCGACACTTGCCACAGGAACGCCTCTTACCACATGCATGAGATTCCCGCCTCCAAAGCTGCACCAACCATCACAGGTTTAACTCAAGCCTCTGTCATGACAATGAGCCACTGTCCGCGGCGGTGAATGCGAGTCCTGGGCTCAGTTCTGAGGCTCAGCTGCCCCCAGAACTCGAGTCCCAACGCACCAGGAGCAGAAGCACGTTTAGGAGTGAAGGTTTAACAGGGGTCCACACTCTCGACCCCCAGGCCGGGCAGTGTAGGAGGGGTACGTGCCCAGGAGCTGGGCAGTCTAGGGTGGGGTTCCAGATCATTCTGGCTCCTGTCTATTTGTGATCCCCCTGTCCGCCCTTTTCCTCAGGCCCCCGCTGGCCTCTGCCCCACTCTGACCCTGCTCCTGCTTCACAGAGATGCCCGCACACATCCGCGCCTTGGCGCTCCCTTCCACCTGTGCCTTCTCACACCCGGGGCGGCCGTCTCCTCCTCCCGTGTCTGGGTAACTCCCTCCCCAACACGACCAGGCCCTCCTGCTTGGGCCCCTTTCTCCGCTGGCTTCTTTCATTCGGCCCCAAAACAGGTGCTAGTCTCACTCACCTCAAATGACAAAGAAAAAGAATGAAGGGAAAAGGAAAGAAAGCAAAGCCTTTGAATAAATTCCTTTTTGCCGTGTCCTCGCTCTCTCCTTCCCGTCACGGTCAGGGGTCTGCTAACGGCTGCCCGAGGGTGCTGTCCTCCCCTCCCTTTCCCACGGTCTCATCAACTTCAGGCTACATGGACCCCACAGCCTCACCCGCTAAGGCCCCAGAGATCTCCCAAACTTCCACATCCAACAGACATTTCCTTTCTCAAAAAATCGAGATATAATCCACACGCCATCAAATTCAGCATTTTAAAGTATGTAACTCAGTGGTCTTTAGTATATTCACGTAATTGTACAAGCATCACCACTGTCTAATTCCAGAACATTCCAACACCAATTAATAGTCACCCCTGATTCTCCCCTCCTCCCATCTCCTAGCAAACACTAATGTACCTTCTGTCTATGGATTTTCCCATTCCGGACATTTCATATAAAAGGGATCATACAACATGTGGCCATTTGTGTCTGGCTTCTTTCACTAAGCATGAAGTTTTCGAGGTTCATCCATGTTGTAGCATGGGGCGATACTTCATTCCTTTTCACGACAGAATAATGTTCCAAGTATGGAGGGACCATGTCTTGTTTATCTGTGCATCAATTGATGGACACGGGTTATTTCCACCTTTGAGTATTATGAATAACGCTGCTATGAACATTCATGTACAAATTTTTGTGGGAACACATATATTCGGTTCTCTTGAGTAGACGCCTATGACTGGAAATGCTGGGTCGTATGGTAGGTCCATGTTTTACTTTTTGAGGAACCAACAAACTGTTTCCAACGTGTCGGTCACATTTTACATTCCCACCAGCAATATACCAGGCTTCCGATTTCTCCACATCCTCTCCAGGACTTGTTAAAGTCTATTTTTTTAATTACAGTTATCCTAGTGGGTGTGAAGTGGTATCTCACTGTCATTCTGATTTGCACTTCCCTGGTGACTGACGATGTTGAAAATTTTTCATGTGTGTATCAGCCAATTCTGCATCTTCTTTGCAGAAATGTTTATCCAGGCAGAACCACTGCCAATCTTCCCCTTTGCTGTGGAAGACTGGCCCTGAGCTAACATCCGTGCCCATCTTCCTCTATTTTATGTGGGGCGCCTGCCACAGCATGGCTTGATGAGTGGTGCTAGGTCCACACCCAGAATTTGAACCTGTGAACCCCAGGCTGCCGAAGCAGAGCGCACGAACTTAACCACTACACCACCGGGCCAGCCTGACTTCATTCCTTTCTGTGTGGACATCCAGTTGTCCCAGGACCGTTTGTTGAAAAGACGATTCTTCTTCACTCAACTGTTATGGCCCCTCGTTGAAGATCAGGTGACCGCAGCCACACGGCTTCTGTCTGGACTCAGTTCTGTCCCACACTGGTCCGTGTGTCTACCCTTGCCCAGCACCTCCCTGGCTTGGTTTCTGCAGCTGTGCAGTGAAATTTGAAATGGAAAAGTGTGGACTTGGTTCTTTTTCAAGACTGTCTTGGTGGTGGTGAGTCCCTTGCATTTCCATACGAATTTCAGTACCTGCTTGTCAGGTTTTGTTAAAAAAAAAAAAAAAAGACAGTTGAGACTTTGATAGAGGTAGTGCTGACTCTACAGATCAATTTGGGGACAACTTCCACATTAAAAACATCATGTCTTCCAATCCACACACGTGGGATGCGTTTCTACTTATTTAGATGTTCCTTAACTTCTTCCAACGTTTTGTAGTTTTCAGTGTACAAATATTGCAGTTCTTTTGTTGAATTTATTTCTAAGATTTTATTCTTTTTGACGTCACTGTAAACGATGGCGTTCACCTCACTTTCAGATTGTTCGCTGCTAGTGTACAGAAATTAAATTGATTTCTGTATATTGATCTTGTCTCCTGTGACCCTGCTGTGACCTTGTTTTAGTTCTAATAATTTTGTTTTGGATTCCTTAGGATTTTCTTCATACAAGACCATGTCATATGCAAAAGAGAGAATTTTACTTCTTTCTTTCAATCTGGATTCCCCTCTTCCCTCCTTTTTTTCTTGCCTAATTGTTCTGAATTTTAATATGCCATTGAATTTGATTTGCAGGTATTTTGTTGAAGATTTTTGTTATCAGTATGCACATGGGTATTGGTCTGTACCTGCTTATTCTTATAGTATCTTTGGCTTTGCTATGAAGTTAATGCTGACATTACAGAAGGAGTTAGGGAGGTGTTCCCTCTTTAATTTTCTGGAAGAGTTTGAGAATAACTGCTGTTTATTCTCTTTAAATCTTTGGTAGGACTCCCCAGCAAAGCCATCTGGTCCTGTTCTCTTTGTTGGGAGATTTTTGATGACTGATTCAAACTCCTTATCCGTTATTGGTGTGTTTATATTTTCTATTTCGTCCTGATTCAGTCTTGCTAAAGTTGTGTGTTTCTAGGAATTTATCCACTTCTTCCAGGTTGTCCAATTTTTTGGTGTACCATTGTTCACAGTCATCTCTAAAGATCATATTTCTAGGGTACCAGTTACAACGTCTCCTCTTTCAATTCTGGTCATAGTCACTTGAGTCTTCTCTTTTTTCCTTGGTTGAGCTAAAAGTTCATCAGATTAGCTATTTCTTCACGATTCAGTCTTGGTGGTTCATGCCTTTCCTATGAATACGTCCATTTCATCTCAGTTATCTAATTTGCTGGCACCCACCAGTTCACAGCACTCTTTTATAATCCTTCTCATTTCCGTAAGACTGGT